TTTTTTCAGGATATTCTTGTCCTAATATTACAAATTCTGCTACAGCTTGGTTTCTTCAAGTTGTTATTTGTCTAAGTCTTGTCTTGTTAATATTAACATTTAAGTTTCTTTTACTGCTATTTGTTTGAATATTTCATGGTGGTATTCTTGTTTTCTGCCAGGTATTCCGTACTATGGATAATATATTTTGTCAGGATTTATTCGTTGTGCTAGTAAAATAGTTGGTAGTCCTTCGTGATTATAGTTGAATATAGCAACTTGTGCTAATTTAATTATTGGTATGGTTTCCGGAGGCAATATTAATTGTTCCATTTTAGTATGCTGGTCTATAAGGTTAAATGTATGTTGTCTATGATTTTTTCTGAATTGTAATTAGTAGTACTATGAGCTATTAATTGGTTATAATATCCTTAATATTTGTAATTGTTTACTGTTATCCAGTTATATACTTCATTTGGTCCAGATAATTTTTCTTTTGCTAATTTTGGTGGTGTTATATTGTAAAATATATATTCTAGTTCTTTTAAAAGTAATCCTTCTAATTGTTGTAATTTTCTTCTAATTTGTTCGGTTTCTGAGTAGTGTTTTGGTTTCGTATTTATTTGTGTTAATTTTTCTTGAAATGTTATTATTTTTTCAGTAATTAGGTGAACTTTTTTAGATTCTTCTAAATTTTCTATTGTTAAATGTTTATTATTTTGTTTATAGAATAATTCTGTGTCTATTTCTTGTGCTTCAGTAAAATTGTAATATTTGTAGTATGAGGTCCTGTAAGTGTTTTTCTTTATAAAATATTTTAATATAATCATTGTGTTCTAAGAATATTATTCTTAGTATCTGTTTCTTTACTAGAATGTAATGATATTCATCGTAAATTGCTTTTGGTGTAAATATTAATTGTGTTTCTGTTGAGTATTCTTCTAGTAGTATAGATGTTTCAGTTGTTCATAATGAATATAGTTCTGAATAATAATGTAATTCTTCTTCTGAATATTTTTTGAGGTTTTTGTCTTTTTTTTTTATGTTCAATATTTATCTAATAGATAATCTATTCTGTATGCTAGATTTATTATTTCTTCAGTTCTTTGGTATTTATTTAATCGTGCTTTAATATAATTAGCTCTTCATTTTGCAAATAGTGTTTCTTCTGAAGGTAGGGTTTTTATTTTGTTAAAAATATAATCTCCTTTTTCTATAATATATATTTCATTCTTTTCGGGTAGTTTTCTATAAATAGTTATTTGTTGTTTATCTATTTCAATTATTTCTTCTAGGAATGTATATTGGTGTTTCTCTTGTTGTTTTGTAAAGTTATAATAGAGGTTTGATTGTTTGAGATCATTTAAATCGTATTGGGTTGAAATTTCTTTTATATTAGGTTCTTTCTTTTAGTTTTATTTTGATATTCTTCATAAGCATCTTCGTGTCCTATATTTCTAAAGAATATTTCTTGATATAAGTATTTTCTTTCAGGTATTAGATGTTCTAATTGATCAGTATAATCTTCGTCAGTACTTCTATAGTATCTGGGATTATTTATTATTTTTTGTTCTATTGCTTTGGCAGTTCTAATTTCTTCTCATGTTGTGTGAGCTCTATTTAGTAGATGAGCTTGTTGCAATCTTTGTTCAGTTGTGATTATTGATTCGTGTAGTTCATATGTACTTGATATTACTCCTTGTGTTTGTAAGAGTAATTGTATTGATACAAAAGTAGTTTGTAATATTCTAAGTATTCTAAATGGCATTTTAAATTCTTTTTCTAGTCATTCTAGGTTAAATAAGAAGTTTTCAATATATGTATATATATCTGTTAAGTTGATTAAAATTTTTTCTTTTTGATTATGGTTGTACTTCCAATAGGTTGTTTGGCTAAATGTTATTAGCGCTGCTGTTTGCACAAAGGCGTCTAATAATTTTAATGTTGCTCTTTAGTTTTAGGTTATTAGTTGAATTATTTCTTGCTAATAAATCTTGTAATATTCTTTGAATATCTTTTCATACACTATGTAGTGGTCTTTGTTTTAGTATTTCTTTTCTAGTATCTCAGGTTCTTGGATCAAATTTATCTTGTGGATATGGTATTCTATTTTTATATAGTATCCAGTATTCAAATCGTAAAGGGTGAAATTCAGTTCTAAGTTGATCTAATAATTCATCTATAGGGTTTTCTATTTCAGATGTTGTATAATCATCTAAGTCTTGTCTTGTTAATATTAACATTTAAGTTTCTAATATTGTATTGGTTAATAACTAAATATCTGTTTGTTCAATTA